TCACGCTGAAAAGCTTATTGTATCGATTCCACCCTAAGACTAATGATTGTTGAAAATATCATGTTGATCGGTTGAAGCAATCTTGAGATATCGTGGTCACAAAATTTGACACAAAGAAAGAAGAAAAAGAAAGAAAGTAAGAAAGATTCTGACAATAACAAGAGGTGATCCGCTAACGTTAGCGGATCACCAAAAAGATGAAGAAGATGATGATCCTGACAATAACAATAGGTGATCCGCACTGGATGCGGATCACCAATGATGATCCTGACAATAACAATAGGTGATCCGCTAACGTTAGCGGATCACCAAAAAAAAAGATGATTCTGTACAATAACAATAGGGAAGGTGATCCGCTAGTGTAGCGGATCACCAAAAAGAAGATGATGATGATCCTGACAATAACAAGAGGTGATCCGCTAGTGTAGCGGATCACCAATTAATATTTTTCAGAAATGACGAATGGTTAAGATGATTTGACGTCATCAACGTTTTGAGAAAAGAAATATATATATATATTTTTTAATTCAAATGGCAATATGGTGATGTCACAATGTCCGATCAGCCATTATGATCTATACAATCGTATCTACAACCCATGTGCTCTCAGAATATGTAATAAAAATTGGGGGTCACCTTTCATCCTAAGGAGTTATATTTGATAATAAATAGGCATAATTATAAGCATATGTAATTTTGACGCATACGTACGCGCACGTTAAGACGCGCAAAAAAAAGTAAGATACCTAATATTCAACCTTGACCTGAAGTATATAAGCCCATTTAATATTACTCAGAAATGACAAATGGTTAAGATGATATGACGTCATCAACGTTTTGAGAAAAGAAATATAATTTGTTTCTTGTTTTATAATTCAGATGGCAATATGATGACGTCACAATGTCCGATCAGCTATTATGATATATCAAATCATATCTACAGCTCAAGTGCTTTCAGAATATGTAATAAAAATTGGGGGTCACCTTTCATCCTAAGGAGCTATAACTGATTAAAAAAAGACATGATATAAAGCAAATTTTCATTTTGACGCACGCTAACGCTCGCGTTATTACGCACGCACAAAAATATAATGTACATAACATTTAACCATGACCTTAAGTTTATGCCCACTAAATATGATTCAGAAATCACGAATGATTATGGTGATTATGGGGTCATCAATGTTTTGACGAAAAAAAGATGAGGGGGATAAGCAAAACCCTATATTTTGACCATGATGACGTTATCAAAATGTAAAAAAGTGTCACATATAGGAAAGAGAATTGCCTCAGCTATAACATACTCAAAGTTGGAAAAAAATCAACCAAGAATAAGCGAGATACGCTCAAATGCGCATTTTTTTTAAATGACGTCATCGATAGTACTCAGTTTGTTGAATTCAGATGGCAATATGATGACGTCATAATATCCGATTAGCCATTATGACCTATAAAATCATATGTACAACTCATGTGCTTTCAGAATATGTAATAAAAATTGGGGGTCACCTTTCATCCTGAGGAACTATAACTGATTAAAAATAGGTACAATTTTGACTGAAAATAGACAAAAACGCGCAAATACACACGTATCTTAGATGTGCGCGTACTGCACTATTATTAGACGTAAAATTACTGAAAAAGAATGCAAATATTTCATTACAGTGTAAGAATCTCAAAATATGTCAAAAATTGTAATTTGAATCATCTGCACGAGCTGCGCGTGCGAAAATGCGCGAGCAACCTGAAAATTTGTGAAAAAGTTGAAATACTCAGAATCACCTGAAACGTACACAAATTTAGTCAAAACCTGAATTTGAGCAAATTGAATTTTTAGCGCACGCGTACGTGCACGTAATGAACTGCAATTCGTACAGTACTGTGCATATAGATAGTACTTGACATGAAGTATACCTGTGTGAAGTTTCAACAAAAGAGGCCTAACGATGGTGAAGTTATGATAAAAAAATTTGCTACGTAAAACACAAAGTTGCGCGTAGATGAAGTCACGCGTGACTGATCACGCTGAAAAGCTTATTGTATCGATTCCACCCCAAGACTAATGATTGTTGAACATATCATGTTGATCGGTTTAAGCAATCTTGAGATATCGTGGTCACAAAATTTGACACAAAGAAAGAAGAACTAGATTTGAACTC